TTGAAAAAGCATTGTAACCACTATGAGCTGATTGTTATATAGATCCCTTAGGGTAGGGGAAGAGCTTTTGTTTATGGGGTGGGAAGAGTGAGAGGCCTTCTGAAGGTGAGAAACAGAATCAAACAAATATTCCCAAGTTCTAATGTTCTATGAATGATGCTATTGATTGGAAATGCAAATATCCTACAGGTGACTCTGCAGCTTACCTCTGTTCTATGGAAACACACATTACCAATGATGAATGATGCCCAGCAGATGTAGGAAAACTGACAGATAAAAGGATGCTCATATGCATGCCCTTTATTTCTTACAGAAAACACTCACCAGTATAGACGTGTGCGTGATATAACCAACACTGGTACTCCCAGAACTCCTCCCTACCCCACCACTTATGGTATCTTACAGGGAATTCCTCCAGGAGTGATCTATTAGTTCAAATTAAAACACACAAATTCAGGAGGAAGATTTATTGTTGTAAATATTAACAAAATGATAAAAATTTACAGTCATGTGATACATCAGTTCCATTAGTCGGGTGTCATAACCTTTACAATACATACAGGTGCAAAATAACTGAAGGGAACTTTGGTTGTGTCTTTAAGTTAGTGGGTACCAGATGTTTAAAGCAGCAGCTAAATGGATGAACATATGCTATCCAATTGCAGTGGTTCACAGTTGCTATGCTTCATGGTTACACCTCTACTTTAGGCCTTATGAAATCTCGATAAATGCACTACTGCTCAGCCACACAGTGTTCTGTTTAAACTAGGGCTCTGCTATCATAAGGACGTCGATATAAATGAGTGATTGGGGGTGATGAGTTTAATCTATGTCTCAATCAGGTATGCACTTGGCAAGATTGCAGCAAAATACTTTACCGTTGAATAATCTCTCTAAAAGGTATCTTCAACCAACAGATCCAATTGCATTTCTAAGATACAATAGTCTGGCTTTCAATTACAGGACTCCTGAACAAAACAAATAAGGCATTTCTGAACAGTGTTTCGTTGAAACCAAGACAACACAAAGCATGCAAAAAGGTAGCATTCTCCTCTTCTGTTTTATTTCCAACTGTTCATTCTTCAGGACATTTATGTTTTAGAAAATTAGGCATTTAAAAAGACATTCTCTATTTCAATATAAAATACATCCATGCTAAGCACATATGTTCATATGCATGCAATGCAGATCCTCTGATTGATAAATCATGTCAATTATGCCTTCTCCCTCAACAGGAACGAGATCAGACAAGTATTTGAACTAGTTCATGGCACTGTGCCACGTAAGTTACTTAGTTGCAGTTGTCAGTTACCTCTCGCTTTCAACTGTTGGAGCCTAGCTTTTTTCTCAACCTAGGGAGCTTTTTGGAAATGTGGTAAAAAAAAATGTGCAGAAATGCATTAATTCTTTATCTTCTACTGGTTCAAAGTTCAATGCTATGCTGCACTGTTAGGTACCTTCACCACATGGGCTACAGAGTACAAGATGGTGGCTCATTACTTTCTCGAGGGAAATTAAGGATGGACAATAAAGAGTGGCCTTGACAGCAATGCCAATACCTCAAATGAATAAACAAAAATGCTATATAGGTACAGTATCATCAGCACAACCAATGCCAGGAGTGATCCTTTAAGGGCTAAATGCACGTACAAATGGATTCTAAAAATTAGGCACTTGTTACATTAGTAAAAACAAATTTTTAAAACAGGCTAATTTTAAACCAAATATTCTCACTGCAGATACTATATTTCACTGATGAAATATATGCTTGCATTGTAAACTGCAAATGTATACCTGTAATTCTCATATTCACGGTTAACACATTCCACATCCCGTCACATTTTGTTATTGAATATTGATTTCCATTCAGAATCTCAAAGCATATGATGCCTATACTTTTATAAGAAACTCATCGAAATACATGATCTATTCAAATTCATACTAACTTCTTAGCTCATGAATGTTTACTCAGGCAAATCTATATACATCAACATCATTCTAATTGAAGCCTATCTTGCCAAAGGTCAACTGATTAGACTTACACTATATCATAGAGTAGCTAAACAAGTAGAATTGTTTAATAATTTTTAGGACTGGGACCACCTATGAAAGATGAAGATTTATACGGGTGTTGCTTCACTGCATTAGATCCATGTGAATTACGATATCCTTATTAAATGTGGATTCATGTGCATTCAAACAGGTAAACAAAAAATTTTCTTGAGTTGTAACAAGAAAAATCTTTGTACATAAATACATTATTCACATTGAGTGTCATTTCCAGAGCACTTCTCAGTGCTGTAAGTCACTACCTTATGGTCACTGTATAGTATATTCTCACCCAATCTTGCTAACCTCAGTAGCAGGTGACTGTGGGAGGTACAGTCCATTTCCTGCAATTGACTCTCAAGTAGGCAACTCAAACAGTTAACAACTGGCAATATATGGGTGGCACAGTGGTTAGCACTGCTGCCTTACACCACCAAGGACAAGGGTTCAATTCCACCCTTGGGCAAGTGTCTGTGTGGAGTTTGCATATTGTTCCTGTTTCTGCACGGGTTTCTTCCAGGTGCTCCGGTTTCCTCCCATAGTCCAACGATGTGCATGTTCAGTGGATTGGCCATGCTAGATTGCCCATGGTGTCCAGGGATGTTCAGGCTAGGGTGGATTAATCATGGGAAATGCAGGATGGGATGCTCTTTGGAGTGTCGGTATGGACTCAATGGGCCAAATTGCTTGCATCCACATAGTTGGGATTCTATGACCTGAAATCTATATTTGAATGACAGTCAAGAGTGGGAAGCCTGGATAATTTTGAGCTCGGCCTTATTCAGCTAAAAGAAGTCAAACATAGCACCCTCACTGCTTGCCCAGCTAACCAGAAGGGACTGACACAGAGAAATTCTCATAATGCAGCTCAGTACCACACCGCATTGTCCAGTAACTTAGTGAATCTTCAGGGAAGCCCTAAGAGGGTGGTCTTGGGAGTCAAATGGGGGGAGTAGGAAGAATTTGTAGAGTTGCAATTTTGAAAACTATATAATAGGAGCTTAAAGTTTCTTCAGAAGGTCCCATACTTTTAGTCATGTCTACTTAATCATTTTACAGTATTAAAATTCATATACCGCATGTCAAAGATCAATAATTATACAACACTGATTGCAGTAAGCTTGTTCTGGAACAGTCTAGTTTTAAAGCCTTATTAATTCATTATTACAGCAATGAAACAGCGATTTTTTTTTATAAATCGCTATAAAACAAGTCAAAATTTAGCAGCAGTATATATTACTTTCAATATGAAATTGTTCTTATGCCTCAGCCACAAGTACATTGGCAAAAGTAGAACTTTGGAATACAGAATTTGCTTTTGAGGAAGTAGTGATGGAAAAATCGTACCTCATTACAGCTGTTTCACTACAATTCTTTTAAGGCAGCATTCAGAAGGTAAGAGGATCACAGCTTCAATAATCTGCCTACCTTACAATAGTACAATTTATTCTTGTAGAAGTAAACACAGGTCAAATTAAGGTTAGCAAATGCATCAGTTGAATCTTTTACTTGCCTGTGGCCCAGGAAATTGTCCGTGTGCGTCTCTCTCTCTCTCTAAATTCAGCATAAAATAATATGCAGAGACTGCCAGTCTACTGGAAGGTACAATCACTTCCAGTGCTGCAGTCGACAATTTGTAACTGAAGCTCTGAAATGAACTACAGAATATTTCCCAGCAATTTTCACAAACACACACACGCAAAATTTTCAACGTGTAAAATGCTTTACAAAGCTATTCCACAGTGTGTGTATTTAAGTCTTCTGCCCTGCTACTGTCTCCAATCAATTCCTTAAGAACACTGTTAATTCTATAATCTGACAACATCAGAGCGTGATTTTCCCCATTGTAAATTTAGTGCAATGGTTTTCACTGGTGTAGAAAGCATGCCGTATTGGTCAGTCTTGAAATCGGATAGCAATCTTAGAACAGATTGCACTGTGACACCAAGTTGCAGCGGCATCACTTCCATTCCAAAATAAATCTACAAAGGTGAACCACAATGTTCCAGACATTTAATACAACCTCGTGTCCTAACAGGTCCAGACCTGGAAGGGGGAGAAAACAATTGGAATGTTAGTGTGCCTTGAGCAAAAATAATTCAGCAAGTTCTGCGCTCCCTTAACTAAATTTAATTGATTTGCATTAAAATGGCCCAAATATTCAACAATAAAACAAGCTCTAGATAATATCTATTATGCCTTAAACACAGACTTACAGATTAAATTTTGTGCACTAGAAATATGCTACAATAGACTGTGTGTATTGGAGCTCCAGCACAACAAGTTATGATTTGATAAAAAAAAACTTCTCAAACTTATATCCCTATGCCCCTGACTTCAAATATGGCCATGCAGGGAGGTAATAGATGTGAAGATCAAGAGTTTCTCCACATTAAAGTACTGGCAGAGCCCTGGGGTCTGCAAATTAGTTCATAAATACTTCCACTGCTTTGATTCACTAAAAACCCCATCTGTTCTACATCCTCACCTACTTGGAGTCATACAGCATGGAAACAGACCCTTTGGCCCAACTTGTCCATGCCAAACAAGTTTCCCAAACTAAACCAGTCCCATTCACCTGCGTTTAGCCCATATCCCTCTAAACCTTTCCTATTCATGTACCTGTTCAAATGTCTTCAACTGTACTTGCATCTACCACTTCCTCTGGCAGTTCATTCCATATACGCACTACCCTCTGAAAAAGTTGCCTCTCAGGCCCCTTTTAAATCTTTCCCCCTCACCTTAAACCTGTGCCCTCTAGTTTTGAATTCCCCTACCCTGGGCACCTTTCCTATTCACCTTGTCTATGCCCCTCAAGATTCAATATACATCTATCAGGTAACCCCTTTGTCTCCTATGCTCCTGGGAAAGAGGTCCCAGCCTATCCTTAGAACTCAAACCTTCCAGTCCAGGTAACATTCTTTTATATCTTTTTTTTTTTTTTTTCCCCCCCCTCCAATTTAATAATATCCTTCCTATAGCAGCGCGACCAGAACTCTGTGCAGTACTCAAAAAGTGGCCTCACCAATGTCCTGTACAGCCGTAACATGACGTCCCAACTCCGACACGCAATGCTCTGATCAATCAAGGCAAGTGTGCCAAACGCTTTCTTCACCACCCTGTCTGCCTGTGACACCTCATCCAAGGAAATATGCAACTGAACCCTTAGGTTTCTTTGGTAGACAACACTCTCCAGGGCCCTACCATTAACTGTGTAAAATCGTATACTTGTCTGGTTTATCCATGTTTCAGCTTTTCTCTTCTGCTCAACATCCATTGAAGAATCTCAAGTCCGCTCATCCCTGCACTCTGGAATTCTCTTAAGCATCCGGAAGCTGCCTGATCTGCTGTGTTTCTCCTGTACTTTGTTCTTATTTTGCGATATATAGATCTTAAGTGTCATGTGCTGTTTCTGCTTTACAGATGTTGATGGATCTGCTGTATATTTCTTGCATCACTATTCCCAGCATTGACAGTTTGCAGTATTACTTGTAAAATAAACCAAAGCTGCTTACTTTAACTGTACTGTCCACAGCACCCGAGAAGAGACGCCCTCTGGACACAGCAAGAGCAGTGACACTGCCTTGGTGACGAAGCAATGTCTGTGTACAGATCATGTTATCCATACTCCAAACCTAGACCAAATTATAATTATGGATATGAGGAATGGAAACAGCACAACATTTTAAAGAATATAAAACATATTAACAAGTTGAGATAGTACATGGATGTATTTAAGATTAAAAACATGATGGCCCTTTTATCACATAAGAAAGAGTACAAAAGTTAAACTTTGCTACTTCAAATGCCATGCTTATAACTTACATTTACTAAGAATTATTGACATGCATCAAAACTATTTACCATCTATATCAAAGACTTGGATGAAGGGACTGAAGAAACTGTAAAAGAATTTGCTGACAGTACAAATAAAGGTAGGAGAGCAAGTTGTGAAGTGGATACAAAGGTGAATCTGCAAAGGGATATCAATGTGATAAGTAAGTGGGTAAAACGTTGGCAAACTGTGGTCAAGAAAAATAAGTAAAGGAAAATATCTAAATGGAGAGAAACTACAGAATACTGCAGTACAGAGGGAACTTGTGTGAAACACAGAAAAGTTTAAGTTACGATCTTATTGAAAGATATAATATTCTGAGGGGACTTGACAGGCTAAATGCTGGGGTGGGGTGGTGAAGAAGAGAAATTTACAACTCGAGGGAAAACCAGCTCCAAGGAAAAGTTATTTCATAGAATCATATAGTGCCAAGAGGCCCTTCAGCCCACTGAGTCTGCACCAACAAGTGGGAAACAAATGACCTTCTACCTCATCCCATTTACCTGCACTTAGCCCATAGCCTTGAATGCTATGATGTGCCAATTGCTCATCCAGTTATTTTTTAAAGGATATGAGGCAATTCACCTCTACCATCCGCCCAGGCAGCATATTCCAGACCGTCGCCACCATCTGGTTTACACAGTTTTTTTCTCACATCCCCCAAACCCCCTGCTCCTCACCTTGAACCCTTGTCCCCTCATAACTGTTCATGCCCCTCCAAATCTTGTACACAAAACTTCACTCAAAATGTTAATTGGATCTCTCTCCAAAGATACTGCCAGATTTGCTGAGTTTCTTCCAGCAATTTCAGTTCTTATTTTAAAAACAGGGGCAGAGATTCAGAATAAGGGGTCACTGCTTTATGATGGAGATAGGAAACAGGCAAATTATTGAACTATAGGCGAGTCAAAGGATATGGGGAACAGGCAGGAGAATTGAGACCAAATATCAAACCAACTGTGATCTTGTTTATTCTGCACACTTGTGGGACCAATTCCCTGACTGTTGCTCCCATTTTCCTGTGTTTTATTTTCGGAGTCAACAATTTCACAGAATAACAAATTTGATTGGAACAGCCATTTAATTTAAAATATTTATTTGTACACGAAACTTTTATTCTGAGAAATAGCAGAATTAATTTCTACAATGTTGCAAGACACTTCTACCAATGATAAAATAACTACACGACTTTAATCCCATTCTCTTTATTGTTAGTGAGGAAAGCATTAACAATCAATCTAGTGCAGTTACATTTAGGATTAGTACAATAGGAGATAGGAACCCTTACTTTAGCCCTAAAATATCTGTGGAACTACTTAAAGGTCTGCATCAGCCTGCAGCTGACTTAATCTCTGTCTAAAGGCCTGATTAGCACTTGTCTTTGTTTGATTAGCTCTGCATGAGCCTAAACAACAACTGGGAAGGCATTAGGATTGTTGCATAATTAAAGGTTTCAAGAGATATCAAGCCTCAAAAATGAAGCATTGAAGCCAGAATCTTCATGAATTTAATCTGACAGAACACAAGACTTATCCAAACAAGTCATGCTGCATTAGGGGGAAATATAATAATGGGATCATATAGAGGTCGTCATAGGGAAATAAATCCGGCTGTAGCTAGCACCGACAATGCAAACATATTCTCCCACATCAATAGGTAGTCATTCTGACAATGTTACTTCATGTGTTTCAGTTGCTGTAAATGGTATAAATGTTACATGTAAGTATATTTTGCTCAACTACATGACGGTACTAAATAAAAACTGAAAGAACTGCAGATGCTGCAAATCAGAAACAACAACAGAAATTCCTAGAAAGGCTCAGCAGGTCTGGCGATATCTGTGGAAAGAAATCAGGTCCAGTGACCCTTTCTCAGAACAGTTCTTCCTCAGGACCCGAAACGTTAACTCTGATTTCTCTCCACAGATGCTGCTAGACCTGCTGAGCTCTTTCAGCAATTTCTGTTTTTGTACATAATGGTACTAATAGGAAGGATATTGGCAGCACGTTTTCAGGAATTGGATCAGCTTATGAAACCATAACTTACCCTAAGTGATCGGTCATAAGATGCACTGAAGACTTTGGTCTGGTCTGGTGTTGAAATCACAGCCAATGCATATACTGTGCCTACATGGCCAGTCAGTGTTCGAACCTGTTCTTTTGATTCTATATCCCATACCTGGGAAGAAAATAATTGTTGTCCTTAGTCAACCAAATCCTTTGAAGTACAGAGTCAAAAAGTTCATCTTTAAAAAGAGTAATACTTACATGGATAAGATTTTCATAGGTTCCACACACAATGTGGTGATTAGTAACTGCAATGGAGTACACACTACCACCAGAAGTCTGCAGTACATGCACACACTCTAGGGTCCTTATGTCCCAGATCTGCAAATGAAATTCAGATGCACTTTATAGTTCACAGTAATAAGTGGCTATTAATACTTTAAACAAACCTTCATCATGTAAAAATTGGCATAATTGCATGTAAATGATGCAAATTATCATTGTGAAAAGAATAATGTAAAATATGAGAGCAAGATAAGGACTCTAAAGCACTGAAGTTGTCAACATATCAAATCTTAGCAACACTACTAATTAATGATATTATGTTTCTCAAAAGAATGAAATGTCTGATCTACTTTGAACTTTATTTAATGTATTTAACAATAGAATTGACACAAAGCACTCAGTCAGCAAGCAAATATAGAACTCAATTTGTCTCATTATAATTCATTAATGCTAAAAGATTAGATATGATGTAGAACAACTGGAGCATATCCACTTCAGGTTAATCCACTGAACAAATTTAGATTCTTTTAGCATCATTGGCAAGTCAAGGAATTTCTGTAGCTATGTAATACAATTATGAAACAATAATCAGTAAACATTACAACAATAGTGCATAAATTAGAGATTAAACTTGGGCTTTAAGATTTGCTTCTAAATATGAACAAGATGAGACCTTTTAAATAGTAATTTCCATGAAGTGGACCCTCATCATTACAAATCATACTAGGGGAAAAATTGAACAGTGCTGCATCTGTTAAGATTTATGGAATTGTTACCATAGATACTGGGGTACTATCTGAACTTCTTAGTATGACATTCAGCACTGGTTATTTGCAAAAACTGCTCCTGAAGGAAATCTTGGAACAGGATTGTGTGTACAGATACTTCCCACTGAAAAGTACAGCTGTAGATCTTACACTTCAGGTTTAATAAGTTTTTAAGAGCCAATCTTAATATCTGACTTATAATGATTAAATGCAACGATTGCTACAAAGTCCACAGATATTGCAATTTCAACTTTGTCTACATGTTGCTTCCGAAGAATAAAAACCCAAAGTATTTTGATTCTAATATTGATATAACATGCAATAAGTTATAAGCTATCTGATAGTCAAAAAATTAAATTTTTGGCCACTATGAAAGTTTGTAGCTCTCTGTAATAGTACAAGGGAAAATATTAATATGTTCCAATATTAGCTCCGAAGGGGGTTAACTTATTAACACAAGAGATTTCAAGGTATTTAAATGCCTACTAGTCAAAGCACCAGTACTGAATAAAAGCTACATATATTAGATTAGTAGCTGCCATCCTATAAAGCTTGGTCATTATTCAAAAAGCATTACTGAAAATGCTATCCTCACAATTTTCAGAGCAGTTATTTAATATGTAGAACCATTAACCTTGTGAATGGAACATAAAATATGAAAAATGTACTATGTGCAAAAATAAAGGGACTTGAAATCAACCTTGATTGTCTGGTAGGATCCACTGTAAAGGTGGTTTTGAGAGGCCACCAACGCACGCACCCAATGATTCAAACCGGTGAGTTCTTTCTTCAGATTTAGATCTGTTCCCACAATGTCCCAAACCTCAGGAAGGAATCACATGAAAATAACTTAATAGAACGGAAAACCTCCTAGATAACTGATACAGAACACATTTGCAGTGCCCATTACTACATTAGTATATATTATTGATGAGAAAACTGTCCAGTCTTTCACAAAACGTGGGATTCAAACAAATGACCAAAAAGGTAATTGGTTATGACATACAAAAGTCAATTGCCACGGGAGGTCACTGTGTGTGATCTTTCAATTGATTAAATACCTTAATAGCTTTGAGCGAGCCACTGAAGAGCATATTGTGAGACGATACCAAAGTGCAAACTGGATTGTCGTGTGCTCTGATGGTATTGACTTTTTGCAAAGCCGGAATATCCCAGACCTGAGAGAAAATGATTCAAAAGGAGAAGCTCATCACCAACGCCAACAACAATCTAAATTGTACAGGGGGGACGGGGGGGAGGCAGCCACAGGGTGGGAGATGGCTGGAGACCACACAACTAATACATTTGCACAGAAACAAAAAGGTAATAAATACCCTGCAAAAAAACTTACCAAAAACGTATTTTGTAAAGTAATATAGTTGCATTGTGGAATTGCGATTTTAACAAATTCACATGAGTCATTATAGATTATTAAGTTGCTTATATACAGCAATTGGCAGACTTACAATTATTGTGCAATCTGCAGAGCCACTGTATAACTTGTTCCTGTAAATGAAAATTAAAAATTAAATTTGAGTGCACATTTTAATTAATTTTATACTGAAAAAAACCACCTGCACTAGCATTAGAAATGCCTGAAGAACAAATAGCATTTATATGGTACCTTTAAACACAGCAACATTTCCCAAGGCATTGCGCAGAACAGTTATCCAACAAAATTTTACATGAAGCCACTGTAAATCAATGAGCACAGCAGTGATTAGCGAAGGGGACTTGGTGTGAGTTAGGAGACCAAAAATAAAGTTTTGGTTGAACAAGTTTATGAATGGTGCAAGATGGGATCCAGCTAGGAGAGCACAGGAATGGACAAGTCTAGAGTTAACAAAAGGTTGGAGGAATATTTCAATGCTGACAAGCTGAGACAGGGGTAATTAGTTTCAATCTTCCCAACACATAATTAAAAGGTATTTCTGCTCATCATAAATGCAAATATTGGGCAGGCAGCATGATAAACCAGAAGCAATTAGGCAGTCCACAGAAGTGGTACTGATGCCACACATCAAGTTCCACATGTCTACTATATTTCTGGATGATGTCAATGAGGGACAATGTGGAAATGAGAAATAGGAGGCTCCAGAGAGATATTTCAAGATCAATAGTGTAGAAGCAATAGTGTGCAAAAGGAGAAGATAAGCAACTGACTCTCTGGCTGCAAAAGGAATAGGAGCCACGCAAAAATAGCTCTATTTTTTGAATTGATTAGTGTAAACTTTGTTACAACATTACATACCCTTGAATGCACAGAGCCAAAACTATGCCATCGTGTCCTTCCAGAGTCTTCTGACATTTGTATGTAGTACAGGTATCCCATACCTAAAATAGATGCCAAAGATCCATACTTTGCTTTTAATAATGGAGTAGAAACTTTATTTAGTCTGTATAAATTATAGTTTAATTGTCCCAACTCAACAGCCTTTAACAGTCACTGGGAATAAAATTTGCTTTGCAGTATTAACATATGAATGCTTAACATGCATAATAAAACTTCTTTGACTGCTATTTTTGACAAAATGCTTCAATTTTAAATATTTAAATTTATCTGATGGAAGTGTTTTCTCAGTTATTTTAAAAGTCATGTCAAAAATTGCTAAACACCTGTAAAACAACCGGAAGAAACCTACATTAAATTAAATGTCTTACAGCATCCACTTTGCCCCATTATTGAATATTCAAGACAAAGTCTAAGCAGTTAAGAAAGATCTGATATTTTTATGAAATTATTTTTAATATAATGCAAAACTGCAAATGTTCTGAGGCGCACAGTTTTGGTATACTTTTTCAGGAGTTTGATGGTATGCTTTAAGGAAACCTTTCAAAGTCATTGAAGTTACAATTTACTGTGCACTTTGGAGCATTCACAAAACAGGTCCTAAAAAGGAAGCCAATGATTTACGTGACAAATTAATGGGCAGTTTGAAATTCACTAAGTAAACAGAAGTAAACAACTTGCACTGATACAGTATGTTCAATATAGAACTGTCCCAAGTTCCTTCACAGATATTGAACAATTGAAATTACAAAGCAGAGTTGGAGGAAAAAAAAATCTTTTAAATCACTTTTAAATCAGAAAAGTAGCGAGTCAGTAAGGGAAAGTGTTGGGCTGATCCCAACAAAGCTATATATGTCCCGACAATACATGAATTACAGCAATTCAAGGCAGCACCTTCCAAACTCTCAACGTCCATCACCTAGAAGGTGAAGGGCAGATGTACAAGAAGGACACCAGCTGCAGGTTCTCCTTCAAGCTACAAACCACCCTGAGTTGGAACTATTTGCTATTCCTTCTCTGTCACTGAGTAAAAGTCTTGGAACTCCTTTCCTAACAGTGCTGTGGGTAACCCAAGGACAAAAGTTCAAGAAGGCAGCTCTTAAGGGCAATTAGGAACGAGAAATAAATGGTCGAATAGCCAATGAGGTCTACATTTCATGAACAAAATAAGTTAAAAGAAAAGATATGCACAGAGTTTAGAAAAAGTGTTTCTCAAATGGTAGCTGGAGTTTGAGAAAGGATATACAACAGTTATAATTTTTGATTTTGTTGAAGTGTTTTTGGGAGAGACAGTAAGTTCCTAGCTTCTAACAAATGTTCAAAAACACACCTTGATAGTTTTATCTGAAGAGCCACTGAAGAGCAGATCACCAGTAGAGTGGACACACAAACACCAAACTGGACCCTGGTGGCCCACAAAGGTACCCTTACACTTAAATATCTGCTGAGGATCATAAGCTGAAAACAGAATGAAAGAACATCAGTATCTGGGCTATGGGAGCAAGAAAGTATATAGTAGTATTATTAATCAAAAACAATGATTATTATGAAATGGAGGAAATTACCAGACTTCTCCTGTAGATCTTCTTTACATTGCTCAGCATTCACAAAGTATTCAGGAATTATGTTTGTAGCTATGTATATTTTGAAAGCAAGCGCTGTTTAAAAAAATACTTACAGCCCAGGATTCCCATGTTTAACCTGGCATTGATGTGTGAAAGTTCATCCTATAATAAAATGAAAATCACACTGTTATCAAATTACATATTAGCATAGTATTGGTAATGATCCAACAATGAGGTTTGAACATTTGAAAAAATTCTTCCTACATTTTGTTTTGTACATCTTAAAACAATATTGAAGTCTACTCTAACATTTTGAATTGATCTTTTTAAAATGACTGTGTCAACTTGACCTGTATCTACAAAGTATCCTCAAGACTTTGAGTTTCTCTTTCAGATTATAGACAATGACCAATGACAATCTGACCAGAGGGCAAAGCAAAAAAAAACACAGGGATATTGAACATTATAACCAAAGCTTATTACCCACCATAGGTAAGGGTAGCGATAAGCGATAGCCTAGACTATTAATCCAGAGACCCAGGTAATGTTCTGGGAATCTGGGCTTGAATCCTGCCATGGCAGATGGTGGAATTTGAATTCAATAAGAATCTGGAAATAAGAGTCTAATGATGACCATGAAATCATTAACAATTACCAGGAAAAACCCCAGCAGAGTCACATTTGCCAACAACATCTTAGGGATGGAAATCTGCCGTCGTTACCTGGTCTGGCCTCCATGTGATTCCAGACCCAAAGCAATGTGGTTGACTCTTAACTGCTTTCTGGGCAATCAGGGATGGGCAATAAATGCTGGTCCTGACAGTGACACCACATCCCGTGAACGAACAAAAAAAAACGTATTTACAACACCTGTATTCTGCTTTGAAATACAAATGATTGAACAGAATCAATGTCAAATGCTTCCAAAGACAAATTAAATGATTCTATTTTGTTGCACTGTATTGCTACTCTGCAGTGATTTTCATACTGTATTGACATATCACTGTGGCTTTAAGCTTTCTTACGATCTGTGCAAACTTTCTGCATTTATAGAGCCCACATCAAAACTATGCTACGGGAGTCTGCAAAAGACTGGCATCATCAACAGCACTGACAAGGTCTATCCTTAAGGACTTTGTTATACATGTATTAGTTTTGCAAAAACATAGGAGCTAGGAGCAGGAGTAGACAATTCAACCCCTCGACCCTGCTGCACCATCTAACATGATTATGGCTGATCTCACCTTTGCCTCAATTCTATTTGCCTGCTTGCTCTCCATAAACCTTTAACTCCTTACTAATTAAAAATCTGTCTACCTCCTCCTTAAATTTGTTTTATGTCCTAGCATCCGCTGCACTCTAGGGTAGTGAATTTCAAAGATTCACAATCTTTCAAGAGAATATCATAGAAAATTCAAATTGCTTCCATTTTAAAACACAGAATTTAGTTATGAGACATAATTACGAATTCATACAAGTTGCCTTTGAGGATGCAGGTTTTCATTTATGCTGTTTAACTACAATGATTTTCCGATATGTTGTTCTTTTATAACATTTTAAGTTGCAGAAATATCTTACAGTGACTGCCATTATAAACTGAACAGTTTATTTCAGGGCTATAAGAACCCTACATGATTAAAGAGATGTCCTGTGCACAACCGCTTGAAAATCTAGTACAATAGATTTAAACAATTAAATCAAAAAAATCCAATTCCCAAAAACCAAAATATGGAATTGAGCTGTGTGCAACGTATAGCCTAATGGACAATTTTAGGAAATAGGAACTAAACATGTACTGTGTTGTTTTACATCTTTCCATGTTTTGCAACAATACTCTAAATGTGTTTTTGAACTTCATTGCTGTGTACTGCTGCCAGCAATCTCAAGACTGTCAGGATGTGCCATCTGTACAATCTGCAGAAAACAAACATCCTCGTTTCCCAGAAGTATGGATTGTCTGATATAGGCAAATAAACTCAAGAGCTGAAGGCACAGTAAACAGAACCAGCATTTTGAGTCTGAGTCATAAAACAGTATTTTGAACCCAGTTACAACTTGACATCAAGAAACAAACTTCACAGATCTTACACTTAGCATTGATGCATCTCTGCGGAACTCCATTAGATCCTCGCTGAGTTTACTTTGGTTCTCATCCAAAACATCTGAAACACCAGAACATCAGTGTGAATTCCCAGTCCACAATAAATAACGCATACACCAGTCCATTACAGTTACTAACCTCATCTTACAATGAACTGACTACATCACTAAGGCATCAGTTAACCCTTGCAGAGCTAAAAGGGTTCTGCAATGTCCATATGCATTATTGTTTCTGACAGTTGATTTCTCAAGTTACTGACACAATCAACAGGTTTAATAATAAAGCATGGACAACTTATTTTCTAAAAGATACAGAACGCCAACAACTTAGTTAAGATTCCAACCTGAATAAGAAGCTAATTGATATAGTTTTGGATATAAGTTTTATTTACCAAACTTTAGCTCCAGAGACTTCTCCAACTGGTCAAGTTTCTCAGAGAGTTTCCCAAGCATTGATCGAAGGAAGGCAATCTCTTGGTCTTTTTGAGCCAAGCCTACTTGCATCTCATGAAAGCGGTCATCAGTTTGCTGCAGGAACTCTTTCAGACCCTCAAACTTGCACACCTCTAGGTGGGCTTCATAGGTGTCCTGATTTCCGACAAACGTGCATCTGATTCAGGAGTGGGTAGAAAGGCAGAGCACAAAAGTAACAAGCAAATCAGTTATAAACCAATAATGTATTGGCTTCTACCTATTGCATTTGCAGAATATGACATAGCCATTTTCCTAGTACTTATCTAATCAAGAACATTTCTTAAGAATGCATAAAGGAAAAGACTGGTCCTGTGAAAGTCATAATTTAATATTAACAAATTGCATTATGGTTCCTGCTGCTTTTAATGTAAATGTCCAACTCCTGAATGGCTCAAATAAATAGGTATTTGCATAATGACAAGACTTATACTGAAAGCTCATTTAAACTTGTGATAGATATAGGGTGACATGAATTATAATTTCGGTTTGGTGATAAGTAATATTTGACTAACAAAACTGCAGCAGCAACTGAATCAGGAATCAAAGAATTTTAACATTGACAAATGAAACAGGAGACGAGTGTTCTGTTTCATTCTACTGTACTTTGCAATCATTTTTTTAAGAAGAAAAGGAGCCAGCACAAGGAAGTGCAAGTACAAAAAGGAGGAAAGAAGTGATGAGATAACGAGAGAAGGGAGGTGAAATAAGGCATCCTACTACATTTCACAGAAATATCTCAAATTAATTAATTACCTAGAAATCAAGTTGCAGTTGTTTTTTGCACAATACACACACCCACTAACAACAAATGTGACAAAGGCAAGTTAATTAACTTTTGGTAGTGCTACTTAAAGGAGTAATGCTGACTAGAGCACAAGAACTTCCTTTTCCTCATCTGGTTCCCCAGGTTTGCACGTGGCCTGGGAAAATTAACTAGGTGGAGTTTTAGGTTTGCAATGATCTGATACAGGGATACTTTATTCCTGACTGATGAAAGTTAAAAACAATATTTCTCAAGATGATTGTGCTCACCTCGAGTATTCTGAAAACTGTCAACTGCTCGTTTATGTATATATTAATACTCTATTCTTAAATGAGAATTCTGAAACTTTCTTTTCAAAGACAAGACTAGAGACGATAGAATAATTTCATAGTAAGAAATAAATGACAGTACTCAGTCCTCACCAAAATCATCTTATAGCATAGCCAGAGGTTATTCATACCAGCATATCGGTCACCCTTCACAAACTGTAAAACTAATTTTATTGACCTTCAGCTTTTCGCTGTTTGATTAGTTGGCTTATTTCATTTCCAAGAATTAAATCGAGCAATGCTTCTTCCTTTGTTGAACTAAAAGCTAGAAATATCTAGGAATCACTCCCTACTTTAACTGTGTGTATCACCGGTGTTCCAGTCTACTTTGGGCTACTGGAAGTTACTCAGCATTATTACATTGTTATTGCTGCAAATCTCTGAACTGTCTGCAGATTTTCCCATCTATACATTCCTCACTTTAACAAGCTCCAGTTCACAAAACAAGTGATAGCTTGGTGATTGACTGGCGGGATGCAACATTGATGGTGACTCACACAGAACTTGTATGAAACTTTTATTCGAAAGGATGAAATCAAGAAATGAAGAGAGCTTGGCACTCTGTTCACATGTAATTTATCTGGTAATATACAGACAAGCAATTTAGTATATTCACCTTGTAACTTATTTTTAGTAGTTAGATTCAGAGGTGTACAGAACAGAGAAAGTCCCTTCAGCCCATTGCGTCTGTGCTGGTCAAAAACAACTAATTATCTGTTCTGATCCCATTTTCCAGCACTTGGCCCATAGTCTTGTATTCCATGGCATCACAAGTGCACGTCTAAATACTTCTTAAATGAGGATTTCTGCCTCTACCAGCCTGACAGGCAGTGAGTTCCAGTTTCCCATCACCCTCTGGGTGAAATATGTTTCTTTACATCTTCTCTAAACCTTCTAGCCCTTACCTTAAATTATGGCCCCTGGTCATTGATCTATCCATCAAGAGGAAAAGATTCTTCCTGTCTATTCTCCTCATAAATTCTATTCACTTCAATCACTTCTCCCATCAATCTCCTCTGCTGCAATGAAAACAACCCATTTCTAACTAACAGCATTGAGCCCCAGGCAATGTCCTCGTAAACTGCCTCTGCATCTTCTCCAGTGCAATCACATCCCTCCCATAATATGGATTACAAAACTGCACATGATATTCTAGTTGTGGCCGAACCAACTTTTTGTACAGTTCCAGCATAACCTCCCTGACCTTGAACTCTGCGACTCTGCTAATAAAAGCTAGTATCTCATATTCCTCCTTAACCACTTTATCTACCCATTCTGCTACCTTAAGGAACTGGTGGATATACACAGCATGTCCCTCTGATCCTTAGCGCTTCCCAAGGTCCTACCACTCATCATCCACTCCCTGCCCTGTTTGTCCTGACCAAGTGCATTTCCTCTCACTTATCCAGATTGAATTTGATTTGTCACTGATCTGCCCATCTATCCTGTAATCTAAGGCTATTATCGTCACTATTTAGCACTGCATCAATTTTCGTATCATCTGTGAACTTACAGATCAACTCTCCCATATTAAAGTCTAAATTGTTTATATACACCACAAACTTCAATGACGTCAACATTGATTGCTCAATACCACTGGATACTGGCTTCCAGTCACAAACACAGCCCTTGATGATCAGAGTCATTCCTGCCACTCAGGCAATTCTGGATAAAATTCGCAAAATTTTCTTGAATCGCACGGGCTCTTTTACTACCAGTCCTTCATGCAAGACCTTACCGAAAGCCTTGCTGAATTCTAAGTAGACTATATTGAATGCATTGTCCTCATCTACGCACCCGGTTATCTCTTAAAAATTAAATCAAGATTGTTAGATATGACCTCCCCCTAACAAAACCATGCTGACTATTCTTGATTAATCCATGTAGATTAGTCCTGTCCCTCAGGATTGCATGCAATACGGTTCCCACCACTGAGGTTAGACTGACCAGCTTGTAGTTTCCTGGTTTATCCCTTGAATAACGGTAAAAGCACTAATACTCACCCATACTTTGAGTGAGGACATTTGATGTGTTCACATTCTTTAAGATGAGCATCAAGATTCATTTTTAAGAGTGGTGGACAGTTTGGGTTGTTAGGACAACGAACTGGCCGGTAATCACAGCTGCCCTCATGGTCTCTGCAGGAAGATAACTCATTCTGATAAGAACATTTAATTCAGGGACAAATTCTGTTGTTATCTGTAGCAAGATTATAAACTAATTTCATAAATAGATCAGTTTACAATTTTACTATAAAACCTTTAATGAGGAAATGCACATTCAATCTCTATCAGTACATGCAATCTCTGACCTGGCTTCTAAATTTAAACATAACTTACCACCCTGAAATCAACTCTCAGCAGTTTACACACACAAGGTTTTCAGTTACAAAGTGGTTATTTCATGTGCTCTACTTCACATCGTCTTCATTTATTTCTAAGAATTTTGAATTTAATTAACAAGAAGTGCAAAAGGATTGGACACAACAACTGAAAACAGTAGAAACCCCGCTTCAGCACACACTCCAGTGTCAAGTAGAACATAATAAAAGCACATGGTGTCACTGTTGAAATAAGTTGGTGTTTTCCACAAAGATTATTATATTAGACATGGTTCAATGGACTTATCTGATCCACAATAACAACTATTAACCAGGGGCACTGCACTGAAACTGGGAAGCTGGCACTTCAAATTTAAACAGTCTGTCTCTAGTGCAGGAATCTGACATACTCTGGCAGGCAGAGTTCATTAGTCAAGGTTTGATCAAGCTAATAATGCAACTTTGTTTTTGCAAGGAAAGTGGGGTTGGGGGACTGGGGGAAGAGAGGAATGATTGCCCCAAAAATCATTGACTGTATTGAGACAGTAATGATAAATTGCGATCTATTGGACGCACAAAGAAAAGAAGGGAGAGAGAAAAGGGATAGTAGGAACTGCAGATGCTGGAGAATCTGAGATAACACGGTGTAGAGCTGGATGAACACAGCAGGCCAACCAGCATCAGAGGAAATTTGTTTAGTGCCTTTCCGGACTTCAAAATCTCCCAAAACATTTTACAAGCAGGATGTTGAAACAGTCACTTCTGTTACAAGCAAAGACTGCAGCCAGTCTGCACAAAGTAACATCCAGAAACAAATCATGATGAATGATGACAGAAAATGCTGGAAAACCTCAGCAGGTTTGGTGGCATCTGCGGTGATAAAAACAGTTCACATTTTGAGTCCAAAAACTCCGCTTCAGAAATGATGCTGAGTTTCGCCAGCATTTTCTGTTTTTATTTCTGCTTTTCAACATCTGCATTTTTTTTAAAAATTAAAATTAATTATCAATTCATTCATTTACATGGGAGATAGCTTTGCTCTTTCTGAATAATATAACATGGAATTATTTACATTAATTGAAATATGCATCTAGAACTTAGGTCTTCATTTGAAGGAGAGCATCTTCAACAAAACGGCAAGCCCTCAGTACTGTATTAGAGTGTTAGCATGGTTTACATGATAAACCGTAGCACTGAGGTTTGAGCCCATATTTATCAGGTGCATGAGACAAAACTCAAGCAAACACTTGGAAAACATGATCAATACCTGATATCTTGATTATTTTGAGGGGAAATTTGCAATTAGGTTTAATACAATCTACATGGCTAGAAATCAAAAGCAGGGCTGTGTAAGTTTAGTTTAAAAATACATCTTAGATCAATGAAGATCCATTTACACCTCCTTAAATGTTCAAACATTTCTAGTAGGAATCAAAGTTCTCAAGCTGATTACAGCCTTCAAACACTTAAAACCAAGTCCCCGTTATTAAGTACAAAAGATGTGGGAATATTGTTTACAGCCACAGCTGGATAGGAATTACTGCTATTTTTTGCATAGTTGAGTTCCTATTCTCAAATAATATGCTGCAACATTTTAAAGTTTAATCAACTTTGAGGTGAATTTTTAATGCAGATTAACGTACACTGAGCAGCCAATTGAAGCACATTATTACCTCGTCTAGTTTACTAATACACAGTATCTACTAACAGGCTGATCCTTTATGGATTATTTTTTGTGTTAAAAACATAGTTTGCTATCCACCAGAGTCATCTTATCTTAAGAACCAGATAGCGGCCTTCAAGAGATGTGAATAATATCTAGGGTCAGTGACAGCGAAACAGGAAGCCAGTGAATGCCAAGCTTTTCAACTAAAGTATGAGGCTGCTTGCAATGCACATAGATGTTGTCTCCTGAGAAGGATAATTTCAAATATTAGAAAACATTTTCTCATAAATTAATGGGATGAGTAAAAACAATACATCCTTTATCTTAAATACAGTGTGGAGCTGGAGGAACACAGCAGGGCGGTCAGGCAGCATCAGAGGAACAGGAAAGTCAACAGTTTGGGTTTACACCCTTCATCAGCATCTGCAGTTCTTGCTATCTTCTACATGCTTTACATTAAGTGTTTTGGTTCTGGAAGGTCATTTGCCCAGTTTAAAAATAAATCATTAAACTGCGAATCACAGAACTTTGCTGAAAAGTAATTTATTAAATCAGCTGAGTGATCATACACATTTATTTTTGATCAAGTTCAACTTACTTTCTACCACTCAATTTAACAGTGAATGGACATCCACGTGGGTCAACCTCAAAGGCCCCTGGTTTTCCATTTGATCCTGGCCGGCAGCCATATTTACAGTGGACAAACAACTCTCCAATCTGCTCAGCTACAGCTATGTTGTTAACTACAACTGTCAGCTTTGCATTGTCAACAGGGCACTTTTCTGAAAGCACAAAAGATTTAATTAAAACCAAGCAAACACATTCAAGACAGTGGTGCTCTGCAGTACATTTTATTTATACTCTGCAAAACAAAATTTTTCAACTTATGACATCCAAACTATAATTTGCTGTGATAGGCCTTTATGTATGTATGCTTTTTAAAAAGGTTGATACATGGGTTGAAACATTTATTACATTTTCTCACTGAACTTTTTTGAATACATAGTGTTGCACTGATTACAGTACAATCCCTGTAAAAGGTGTGCAGTTACAGCCAAAGCTTTCATAAGATACATAGTTTGGTACACAAAAGCAAAAACTTACCAGATGTTAAGGCGCACCTTCTACAAAATGTGTGCTATTTTAAAAACAAAAGAGAAACACTGGTGTTACCAAGTGCCATTTTAAACACTGCAAGAAAGATTCACAAGAATTGGAAGTTGTGTTTCAAACTGATTCATTCCTGAGCATGTTTAATGCACTAAAGTTGATATATTGCAAGGGTTTCCTTCCTGTCCTGATTGAAAAGAAACAAAGAAAGTGCCAACTCTGCATAAACAGGGTGAACCCCCTCCCCCCAGCCAAACATTTGTGATTCTCTCATATTACAGTAAAAGGTTTGAATAACTCATGAAGTTGTGCAAATTATGCAACTTATTTCTCAGTACCAGCTATTGGCATGAGATTGGAAGCTTCACTTTGATAACATTTAACCACCTCCCCATCCTAATTCCTGCAGCTGCACAGCAATGTTGAAAACACTTGTCAAACTTGGACATCATGTCCAGCATGCCTACTTCCTGCTGAAGGGATTTTCCGTGCTAACAAGCAAAATCCAGTTTCCTGAGTGAGAGCTTTAACAGCACACAGCTAACAAGGAGACCATTTTGCAAATGATATCTCCAGAAAAACTAGCAGACTGGTAACAAAGCAATATTACATACTCAAGCTGAACACAAATATAATTATTGCTAAATGCCACACCAAAAACATCAATATCTTTATTTATTGGAATTATCTTTTTGTTTGAAGCGAGCTGAAGTTCATGGATGCATGCAAAAACCAAATACTGAATAGCTTCTTTACTCTGCACAAAATGTAACCAAGATATACAATCTGAATCTCACTGAGCATTAATCCCAAGGAATATAATTTATATGTCAAGAATCAAAAGGATCAATATGATACACATTGTTAAAAAAACAAAATGAATGCAGTACAACCTCTAAGTGTACTATTTTCACACTGTGGTAATTTAATGAGTGCCCACTGTCAGTGAGAAAGCTCCCTGGCAAAAAGCACATAACAGAAATTCCGACTGTCACTCTATACCAACTCTTGGTTCTTGAAGATGCCAGAGGCTCAAGTCGGACAGTTATTTCTGCCACACTTTCCCCTGCTCATCTTTAGCATTTGGAGTGCAAGATACAGTCATTTAAAACACTGCAATGCTTCAACTGAACTACAAAAGCTGTGCACTTTTCTCATTAAAAGGATATTACATAAAATTTCTTGCTATTTTACTATACCACAAAATTGTTACTATTTTGCATGGGATTGTTACTGCTGTGGCATTGATTACATCAGCAAATCATTAATGTACTCCAAAACTTTAAAACAAAGAGTGTAATAAAATTCAGAATTATAATGCCTACTCCACATGTTGTGATGACAGGATCCTTGAACACACTGCAACAAAGTTGGCAGCATAACTTCACCGAAGGTTGTTCAGCAAAAACCAATGGTTCCTAGAACAAACAAAATAGATCACCATTCATAGTATGGACACCAAAAATCAAACCAGAGTGACAGACCGACAATTTTTAAAATAATGATTTACTTCACAGAGATTGCAAAATAGCTTGCTTTTAAGTTGCAGTTCATTTAACTAGCCACTAATTTATTTTGACTCTATCTTCCTCACTTAGCCTTTATAAGAAAACATTTCTAAATAAAATCTTACAAATAAATGTCAAGATAAATGGCAGTTTTGGAGGGGTCAAAAGGAAACTTTGCTTTCATTTTAGTGATTTTGTTAGTTGACCACCACAGTAAGCCAATTGTTATGTTTCTAGTTCTAGACAAAAGTCTTAAGTATTTTTGTGGTAGATGATTTTTGTATTGCTTGGCTGGATTTGGGCACATTTAATTTAAATCATAAAGCATTATGTTAAAATGCACAGAAGAAAATGTTATGGATGCTAAAATCTAGGCTCTTGCCCATTTTATGTAAAACTAAATGTCATTTTAACTCCCCTCCCTTCCGCAAACAACTCCCAAGACTGACAATTCACACACCTGCTCATCTTCCTCTTCATGCAGAGAAAATGTAGATCGTAGGGACATACTGGATTCTGAATGCAGTGACCTAACAGATATCGCTGAGTCTGACCGACGTGGAGTACTGATTGGAGGCTGCAAAAAGGCATCACTATTGTTTGCATTTCACATACTATACACAAACAGGATTTATTCTCTACTTGTATAACTCTGATCATTATCATGTACACCATTTTAACACCATTGTTTATTTTAAGTACAAGTGCAAAATAGAAATGGTCAACACTAAACTGAACATTTTCTATACATTTCACTAATAAACAATTTAATGACACAACTTACATACCGAATACATTGATTTTTCTAAAAAAACTCAGCATTAAATTCTATTTCCACTCAACATTCAGTCAGTAACAATATACAATATTTCACAGATCTAAAGAGTGAAAACTATAAATTATTTCGCTGTTGCATTTACCTAACCATTTATAAAATGCAGCCATGCATAGGACTACCACAGGACTCAAGTGCTGGGAAAAGCACATCAAAGACCAGCTTGTCGTAATGGCATGAAAGCAGTCAGCATAACAGTAACTCAAACACAAAACAAAATAAAACCTGGTATCATATTATTTTTCAAAGTAGAAAATACAGAAAAAAATACCTTGGGACTTTAGTTAAACCCGCTGTTATCTCCACATTCTAACAAGTAAAAGGATTTGCTGGGCTAACTGCGGCAACATTAGCACTCTGCAGCAGCACTTGTCCTAATCACTGCAACCTTTCTGCCAAGTTTTCTATCCCAGCAAATCTGGCAATTTCCTGCTATTCAATTAACATGAGTCGCACTTTGCTGTTTCCTGCACTGGGGGCCTAACCAAGGGCAATAAAATATGCCATCGACATACTTTACACAGACAACTTAAAAGTTTGCTTTTTGTTTTCAGAAACAGTTAATTGTTCAGGAAGGTACTTAGAAAAAGCAAGGCAAGTTCCATATTAAAAAAAAGTAGACTTACTATCATTCAAATTTAAACTGTATCACTGATTTGATCTAAAATTAAATATGGAATGGTAGGTGAAGAGAAAAATTCAGCAGGTCTTCACTTATTTGAAAGGATGATGAGTTGCAGCGCCTATTCTCATGCTCATGCTGCTTATATTAGGAGTCGCACAATGAACACAGCATTCCAACAACCTTAGGGACCCTTAAAGTATAACCCAAACTAAGCCATTAAAATGTAATAGCTCAATCCTATACATAATGTTCCATTTCTCTGGAAACATTCAGATATGGAGCAACCATTTCCTGAGGTGAGAAACATGGATATTTGCCAAATTCTACTCTCCCAGTGACCACTTCTTTCAGCAATTCCCTCCTTAGCCTCACAGCAGCTACTCCAACTTACTTACAAACGTTAAGTCTGTAAATCTGTAACAGTTTTAAAAGACTGGACTCGGATTCCTGACATATTTGATTCTTTTAATACAGCAGTTGTTCAAAGTTCACAAGAATGCAGTTATTTTCACAATGAGTTAGCAAACAATGTGGAACCGTTTCAACAAAAATAGAAGGTAAAATAGACTCTCAAAAACTAGAGACTTGTGAATGTTTCTCAATTGTGGAGGACAATGTTGGAAAAATATAAGAAAAGATTAAAAAATCATATGAAAAGATACAGAGTGATGAGAGAAAGGCAATATGGGTCCTGAAAAGCCAGTTGATTGCTGGCTAATTTTAGTTATGCTTGGAGCAGCTTATGGATAAAGCGGATGACAAAGCAGGTACTATCATCTTGTCTTTGAGGAAAAGCAATAGACACTAGTCTTCATGACAGACTGACTGCTGGGATGGCAGGACTGACATAAGAGAACTGCATCTGTTAGGATTATATTCACTGGAGGTCAGAAGAAGAAGAAGGGGGAATCTCAAAGAAGCCTGTAAAATTCTAACAGTACTAGACAAGGTAAACGCAGGAAAGATGTTCCTGGTGACTAGGGAGTCCAGTACATGGGGGTCACCCTCTAAAGGATGCAGGGCAGGCCATTTAGGACTGAGATGAGGAGAAAATTCTTCACCTAGACACGAATAAGCTTATGGAATTCTCTGCCACAGAAAACAGTTGGCGCCAAAACATTGAATGTTTTCAAGGAGGAGATAGATATGGCTCTCAGGGCTAAAGGGATCAAAGGGCACAAGGAGAAAGCAGGAACACAGCTCTGAATAGGATGACAAGCCATAATCATACTGAGTTGCACAGAAGGCTCAAAAAGTCAAACGGCCTGTTCCTGTTTTTTATTTTCTATGTTTTACTTGGTGAATGACCACAGGACATGTAAAATAGTGAAGTGGACTGATGTGTGGGTGAGATGATGTCAGAGAAGTGTCAGATTATAAACAGTACAATCCCACAGAATTAGCATTGGAGTAGTAATTGATTTAAATGTTTATCAACTATTTAGAAGCTGGAAAATTGTTTAAAATGTCCAAGTTAGATGATTCTAACCTTGATAAAGCACAAGCACATCCAGATAAATGCGATCATCCAAAGGGCATGCACTATCACTAGACAGAGAGAAAGATGGCTGATACAACTCAAAAGGAGCAAACATAATGTCCTGAGATTAAGTGGAGGTGAGACTGTAGGTTATACATTTAATGGGATCTACTTGAGATCATAGTAGGAAAAGCACCTTGGGAGAGTTTGGTGGAAAATCATTAAAACTCAGGTCAAAATATACAGTGAAAAAATAAAAACAGCAAAGAAAGGAAATAAAACATTGGCATGCACAGCTAAGGTTGTGACTTTGAAGTCTGAGATGTTGAAGTTGCGCCTGGTCCTAATGAGGCAGCTGAAATGTTGTTTCATGTTTACCTGTATTACTCGAAGTATACAGAAATATCAGAAGCAATACAGTGGGATATGAGACCGATTCCTAAACATAAAGAACCAAGTTATCAGGAATATTTCTGCGCCCTTGAGTGATTATCATCATTCGGAGAACAGGGGTGGCTTTAGAGGAGGTCTATAACATTTTCAGGAGGTTGGAGAACTTGGACCCATTGGAGATTTTCCAATTGAGTAGAGAGTTTGAGGACATAGTGGTAGAGTTCAATACTAAAGATGTTTAGAGAAACTGTAGCCTCAAAATACCTACCATTACATCATCCTCATCCCTTGGTGAATAGGTCAGGGTACTGGAGGATGAAGGGGTCCTCCGGTGCTGCTTGAAGGTATTTGTCCCATCAGCTGTACATCAACAGAATAAAATTAGTCCTCCTTCATTTTAGTATTGTCTAAAGCTGTAATTTCAACTTTCTACATAAACCAAGTGTCATTTTATTGTGTTTTCTCACAGTGGAAAATTTTAATAATTTTAAGGCATCAACTTGCATTTGGTCAAGCATTTCACTATTTATCAAGTTATTTATTGGTTATGGCCAACCACAAAAAAATCTAGCATTTCAAATGTTGCTGCTGAATTGGTGATAAATAATTCCTAGGTACAGCAACTACAGTTGCAATCAGTGCCTATTACAGTTTGGAGAGTCCTGACCAGAACTCTGTGCAAGCCAACTTGCTAATATTTATTTCAGCAGCCCATCTCTGGGCTACTTTAAAACTGCCATGCCCAGATTAACAGACCTGTTCAAAAAGTTTGCATCTTTGCACTGTTACACACAATCTATCATTTTCCAATATCGCAAGAAGTAAGCCAAATAAGGGAACATGACATGAAGCACAAATAAAGAAGAAAATAGAGAGTCAAAAGGAAGAGATGAGAAATAATAGTGGAAGAAAGGCAAGAGAGAAACACACAGAAAGAGACGTGGAAGTACAGAAATGGAGGTGAGAAAGAAAGGCAGAGGAAAATGTTGTAGAAAGGAAAGGATAAAGGAAACAGGTTAAGAAAAAGATGAATGTAAATGGAGGGATAAGAAAGAAATCAGAATTGAGGAGTTATACAACATTTCATGCATTCCCCATTACTATTTGCCTAAAAAGATGTAGAGATTCTCTTCTCTTCTCTCTCTTTAGCGTCAATAATTACTTTTATTCCAAAAATATATTCTATTCACAAATTATTATAAAGTTAAAAAAAAGGTCCATAGAGACTTTGCAGAAAATGCAGCGAATTTTCATATTCCTCATTACAGCCTGAATCCAGTTGCAACAAAAGGACATTTTTTTTAAATCATGAAAGGGAACTATTTACATTTCTTAAGGCAAATGAGGGGGTCTCACATCTTAACAGACCCTCATTACACTTCAGCAGAAAGACCGTAGACTGTGGTCTTACCCGACTGTACCTAGGTGGCAGCTGCCCCAAACTTTACTGTGTCCCTCAACAGTAGCCCTGGACCTTGGAATGCTCCAGTCAAGATCAACTCTTTGCACTGGAACAGCAACAAGCTTCAGGCAGACCAAAGAGGATCTTCCACTGAATTGATGGCCCTCCAGGTGTGATCAATGTTTGTCTGTGTGTGGATCCTGGTGAACAGCCTGTATAGCACCAAGTCCTACATCACAGAGCTGCTAGGAACAAACCTCGATAAAAATCATTGCATGTCTCTCCAGACCTTCGTTGCAAAGGCACATTCCAGACAGTTTCACTAAAAACTAGGTAATCTACAGTGTAACTATCATTCTGTTGGTTTATGGCTTGGCATAAACATAACACATTTCATATGTATGGACCTAATATACCTGAAAATTAATGGGTGATAAAGTTTCATAATTAACAATGGGTCAGTCATAACAATATTTCCATTTCTCTCAGGAGTGCACCAGACCAGGGCCTCCTCAGTTTTCCTTCTCCCTCAAATCTATCACTGAGGGTCATTATCATTACGATAAAATCATTTCCTGTCAGCACTGCAACAAAATTAACTGCTAGACAAATGTTTCATTACTTGTAATCAAATAATACATGCCATCAGCAATATTTTTTACTCAAGTGTACACTAATGGTGGCTTACTTTGGCATCATGACTAACTGTAGGTTTTAATATATTCATACAGTGCAATCCTGTCATTATAGATTGAAGTAGTAAGCAGTGAATTAATAATAAGTTGACAACTGTGCATTTATCTAGACCACTTTGACTGCACATTACTTCATTTTGCAATAGACCAATCCAACTGATATGGTAACATTTAGAATCAGTAATAAATGAACTGAGAAAGTGCTATGGAATTGTATATTTCACTCTTTAAAACTTCAAGAACTAAAAAAAATTGTAGAGCAGATTTGGCTAACTCAACATAGGCTAAATCAACAGTGAACGGAAACTCTCGATGGGTACATTTTAAATCATAGAATCAGAGAATTCCTACAGTGTTGAAATAGGCCATTCGGCCCATCGAGTCCACACTGACCCCTCGATGAGCATCTCACACAGACCCACCCCCTTATCCTATCCTTGTAAACCTGCACTTCCCATGGCTAACCCACCTAGCCTGCATGTCACTGGACACTATGGGCAATTTAGCACGGCCAATCCACCTAACCTGCACATCTTTGGACTGTGGGAGAAAACTGATAGAAACCCACGCAGACACAGGGAGAATGTGGAAACTCCACACAGTTGCCCAAGGGTGGAATTAAACCTGGGTCCTTCGCACTGCGACGCAGCAGTGCTAACCACTGTGCCTTCTTTTCAGTCTTTTTTTTTAAAAATCGTTGGACTACCAGGAATTGGTGGGACTTTCAAAGTTATCAGATGGCTAAGTTTCACTACAGTCACACAATCCTGCATGGTGTCCAAATAAAAATCATGCTTACCTTTAGTGATGGTCGTAACGGTAGAATACGCTGGACCAAAAGTAGTTTCCATTCTTGTCTGTTTTTGAAGGAAAATAAAAAAAAGATTAAAGTCCAGGTCTGGGGGAGGGGATGCAGTGGTAACGCAATCAAGTTAGATCCTGAGGTAAAATTTTGGCTCAACTGGATTTGTACCCAGCCAAGTTCCATCACAATTGAGAGCAACTCCCTCTCCCCTATGCGAACAATACTAGAAAAGACAAGAGTGGCAGCATGATGGTACTCATTAGAATTCCTGACAGTTGCTTCTGCTGCAGCAAATAAGTACACTTGCATGTTGCGGATAAATTTCCATGCCGCAGATGAGACCAGAGTGGTGGGAGTGTGGTCCCAAGTGTCTCAATGGTAATCGATAATTAATAATTTGAAAAATTTTCATCCCTTAATGTTGTGGCAGGTGCTGCTCTGATGTTTGTGCTGACCAACGCACAGTTCAGTAATGCTGCCAAAACCTAACCTCCATTTTTCACTGATGTGCATGAATTATTTTGCACTTGTAATAAGGACAGGAGAATAGAATAGGAGCCAGAGGTCTCTCCCCACTGGACTTCAACAGCAAGGTGGAATCTCAAAATTCAGATGCATTGGTGCCTGTGATGTAGCACAATCCAACAAAACTAATTTTACTAATGGCTCCTGACTGGTTGATGATCTCTTTCATCACTCCTGTAATTAACAAAATGTATAATAAACTAAAAGTGCTGTATAGTAAATGTGCTTCTACACTGTAGCATCTGTATCAGGTAAATCTTCAAGCACCTTGCTGTAGGAATGGAGGCTTTCTAGGTGGATATCAATAATCTGCCTTTTGTGGTAATATTTTCCACCTCCACTTTCCAGACTGGATTGATTCTTCACTGAAGAAAGTCTCCATGAGTCTACATATATCATTTCCAAAGGTCCATTCTGTGTGCGTCAACAGGTTACCTACTTTGGGGAATGGCAAAAACATTTGCTGTCAACTCTGATCATATTACCATCCAATGTCCATATGTATTTAATGGGAGCAGGAATCAGAGCAAGAGATGTTGATGGCAACTGCAGTAACCATTACATGTTCAGCTGAAGCTCACCTATATTCATGAGATTACTGTGAAATTTTGTAGACTCTCTTCCAAGTTATAGTCCCTCCATTTTCCCACTGAATTTCACTCTCCCACACAATGCACTCATGTAGGATTTGCTTGGTTCCCTTCTCTCTGGCAATGCCACACAAATTGGCAACTGAAAAAGCCTGGGGCGTTGCTTAAAAAAGGACGTGCCCTACAGTTCTCCATTCTTTCTGCGCATGTTCTGCTATTTAATTTGCTGTTTCCAATTTCAGAAAATGCCATAAAAATTTACAGTTCAGGGGAACCTAATGTACAAATTCTTAGGTTTACCTACAACAGATCATCTCCATCTATTTGGTATGATAGATGACACTTACAATGCTGGTATTGTCTATCACTGGTATGTTTGTGGCACCTCCAGAGAAACGGTTGTAGCGATTGATCTTGGTTGAGGTCATAATCTAGAACAACAGCCAGTCTTCTAATTTAGGTCCATTCCCTATTATTGGAGAAGAAAAAATAAAATTATGAACTGCATGTGGTGAGTGTGCATGCATGTGCATGTTATATATTGTATTTAGATCGATAAATTCTTTCAAAACATACAGGAGCAATCATAAATTTTCGGTTTGTGTAGAATATTCAGAAAACAAAACATTAGCCAGAGATTACAAAAAACAATGTTGGAACATTATATATGGGTTTTTTTTTGAAAATGGAAAATTGCACAGTGAAAGGACTCTGTACTTTGACTGTGATTTCCACAGTCAAAACTCTGAATAGTCCTCCCCATCATGGAATAGGTGAAAGGAGTTACACATTGGCAAAGTTTTTTGTCGTTCAGTAATCATGTCAAACAAGAAAAAAAATGCTGTTATGAGGCTGAAAATACATTCTGCCCACCACATAATGGTGCGGAGTCATGTATGAATTTCAGTGCCTGTACAGTGCCAAGTATGCATGCTATAAATATCAGTGACTGACTGATCAAATCAAACATGTTTCTTCCATTGTTCAAAATAGGCAGACCAGGTTCAACCAGGTCATCACTCAAAACTGAAAACGTTTCAATTGAGCAGCAATTGCGAAGCAATCTTCAATGGCGTTAATACCTACACTAACAATCAATTTAAGATTGTCAAGCTCATAACATGGTTCACTTATACTTGCCAGAAGTGAACATATGAAGCAGGAGTAGGCCATTCAGTCCCTGGAGTCTGCTCCATCACTCAATAAATACATGGCTGGTGTGATTGTAACTTTAAATTTGCATTCGGACCAACAGCTGATGAATTTTTGTGAAGCAAAGGCGTGAAAGGTTATCTACCTGTCTTATAAATATTCTAAGACTCTGCTTCCACCACCTTACAAAAGGAAGAGAGTTCCAAAGACTCTCAACTGAGACATAATTGCACCTCATCGCTGTTTTTAATGGCAAGTGGGGATCCACTCACAGGGATTCATTCCCTACACACGAAAGAAAATGTTTAACCTTTGCACTTTTTTTGAATTGCCCAGGAGGCGGGGAACCTACAGTTCCCGGTTGTTTTTTCCTCAACAACAGAAAAAACCATGAGATATCAGAACAGAATTTAGTTATTCAGCCTACTGAATCTGCTCTGCCATCCGATCATGGCTGATATGTTTCTCAGCCCCATTCTCCTGCCTTCTCCTCATAACTTTTAATCCTCTTGCTAATCAATAACCTATCTATCACTGTCTTAAATATACTCAATGACTCGGCCTCTACAGCCTTCTGTGGCGACGAATTCCACGGAATCACCATCCTCTGGCTGAAGAAATTCGTCCTCATCTCAGTTCTAAAAAGTCATCCCTTCACTTTGAATCTATGCCCTCAGGTCGTCATCTCTCCTACTAGTGGAAACATCTCCACATTCACTCCATCCAGACCTCTCAGTATTCTGTAAGTTTCAGTCAGATCACCCCCACATTCGTCTAAACGCCATTGACATAGATCAGGAGTTCTCAACCAATCCTCATATGACAAGTCCTTCATCCCCAGGATCATTCTTGTGAACTTCCTCTCTATTTCCTCCAAAGCCAGCATACCCGTCCTTACGATACGAGGCCCAAAAGTGCTCAAGATTTCAAATGCAGTCTGACCAGAGACTCATTCAGCCTCAGCAGGACATCCCTGCCCTTACATTCTAGTCCTCTCGAAATGAATGCTAACATCGTAACTGCCTTTCTAACTGTCAAGTAAACCTGCATGTTAAGGTTATGTGAATCCTGAACTGGGATTCCTAAGTCCCTTTGTGCTTTGGATTTCCAAAGTGTTTCCCCATTTAGAAAGTAATCTACACCTGACTTCTTCCTACCAAAGTGCAGAACCTCACACTTTCCAACATTCCAACATCTCTTTGTCCACTCTCCTGGCCTGTCCAAGTCCTCCTGCAGCCTCCCTGCCTCCTCAACACTACCTGTCCATGAACCTATCTTTGCATCATCTGAAGATTTAGCAACAACCCTTCAATCAGATTGTTAATGCATCAGAGTCGACTTTCTAATCAATCAGCACTTAATTCTCCCAAACAATAAACTGAGATCATTTGAAATTTGGCATTCTTAATTTTGTCCTGAGGAGTAAGATAAAATGCTTCAGCAACTTGCCCCTCTTTTCAGAAATATTCAGGAGCTAGTTTTGTATCAATCCCAGGCCTGTTGCCTTGTATCGTAACGTGGTATCAGCTGCGCATCAATAGATCTACAGGCAGAAGGAGCAACATTACACACAGAACTCTCAATGTAAATCAGAGGGAGTACAGATGTGGTGGTGACGGTGTTGGACTGGGGTGGACAAAGTCAGAAGTCACACGACACCAGGTTATAGTCCAACAAGTTTATTTGAAATCACAATCTCTCAGAGTGCTGCCCCTTTGTTGGGTGAAGTTCACTGATGAAGGGACAGTGCTCTGAAAGCTTGTGATTTCAAACAAACCTGTTGGACAATAACCTGGTGTCGTGTGACTTCTGACGGAGGGAGTTTTTTCAGCAGTATAAGGAAAATCAAGTAGGGTGTATAATAGATTGTCAATCTGCAACCATTGGCTTCAAGCTTATGCTGAAGCTTACGGGTTCCAGTCGCTATGTGAAATGCTAGATGTATTGTAAATGGAATCTGGCACTTTTCCGAGGTCATAAACCAGTATTAGTCCCCAAGGACTAATCAAGAAGATAGAATGAAAAGGAGGGTGTTATTCATAAGTTAGGTTTGGTAGAAATAAAGAAACAGAAAGTGTACAATGTAGCAGGCAGCGTTTCAGCCTGTCATCTGTGCCAGTTGAAAAAGGAGACATCCAGACTAATTCCATTTTCCAGTTCTTCATCCGAGGCCTTACAATTTAAAACACTTCAAGGTACCTCCAAGTATTGCTTAAATGGGCTGAGGGTTTCTGCCTCACCCCCAATTTCAGGCAGCTAGTTCCAGATACCAACATAATCTGGGTAAATTAAAAGAAAAAAATTGGCATTTGCCATGCACACAACCTCCACTCAAACCATGTTTAAGAACATATTTGATATAAATTCACCCAGAAAAAAATACATTCCAACAATTATGTAATAAAAACTCTGGGATTTGGGAGCCCTTGTGCACAAATCACAAAAAGCTAGTATAGATGTTCAGCAGGTAATAGAGAAGGCAACAGAACTGAAGCAACCAACAAAAGCCAAAAGATTTTATTAGGTAATAAGTACTTATCATAGAATCACAGAATCCATACAGTGTGAAATCAGGCCATTCGGCCCATCAAGTCCACAATGGCCCTCTGAAGAGCAGCCCACCAAGATCCACTCCCCTACCTTATCCCTGAACCCTGCACTTCCCATGGCTAATTCACCTAGCCTACACATCCCTGGACACTATGGACAATTTAGCATGGCTAATCCACCTAACCGATGTATCTTTGTACTTTGGAAGGAAACCAGATCACTCAGAGGAAATGCAGGCAGACACACAGAGAACATGCAAACTCCACACAGACAGTCACCCAAGGATGGAATCAAACAAAGGTCCCTGGCGCTGTGAGGCAGCAGTGCTAACCACTGAGCCACCGTGCCACTCCTTGTGTTTTTGAAAATAAAAATCCCAAGTGTGCATAATTATTAGGAAAAAAATACAAGTTTCAAAATTTTGTTACGTCTGTTCTTGCCATATTTGCTACATAATAATTTCAACTAGTGAAAAGAAAACAAACACTGGATTTCCCAGAAATTTCCCAAAATTCCTTAACCTCTGCAAAAATAATGCAGTCCAGATTAGTTTCCTCAATGCGCCCACTATTTACATGATTCAAAAAAATGTCATGCTGTTTTAAGAGATATCTTTTTTAAGGTGTTTTCTGGCCTCCAATTTGACAAAGACTATTTGCATATCAACACCAACTTTAGAGCTAACAAAAACTAAAGTACCTTTAATACATTTTCTAAACCCCAATCAATTTCAGAGAAGTGAATAAAATAAAATTTCCATCCGGTCAGGTTCTGTGATTTAAAGATTCCATGTTCGGGAAAGAATTATGAAACACATGTAAAGTATTCCCTTGATAGTTTAGCTGAGTGGTAAGAGGCCGAATGCTACAAATCCAGAAAGAAACATGTCCTGGTTGTGCCAATAATCTTACCTGGTCAGTCTAACACACAGATCACCCACATTAACAGCATGATTATAAAGAAAAGGATAAGGGCAGAGTACACTATGACAACAGTTCAGCCCCCGAGCCATTAAAACATCTCCACCATCTGCAAAACTTAAATTACGGGAAGAAGGCATTTAACTTTGGCATAGCTTAGCAAGCTCAGCACTCTTCACTTGAAAATTCAGGCAGTGAGGCTCACTGGCCACAATAGCCAAGATGTCGATGTATTCAGAGCCATAACTCAACATGTCACCACACATGGATACTTGACAGTAGAGGCTTATGAGACGGCAACCAAATACAGGTTATCATAAAGAATATTTAACAAAAATTCAACTAGTCAAGTCTCCTGTGCAAACTGGAATCATTTTGTGTTTGCAATATAAATGTCAAAATAAAAGGGGCCTGCTAAAAATTTGTACCTTGTGGTTTGATTGGAATTTGCAGTAAGTGATCTTCACGAAAGTGGGTGACGTCAGCAATGCTTCCAACAGCAGCATCACCTTGCAGTATAAACTCATGCAGTCCTAGCAATCAGAGCAAAAGAACACAGCTGCGACAAGGGCGAAGGAATTTAGTTACCACTATCCCTTCCCACTCTGGTTATGTTGCTGGCGCAAAAGATACCAGCTTTGAAATAGAGTCATACGGCACAAAAACAGAACCATTGGACCAACTCGCCCATGCCAAGCATGTATCCCAAACTAAACTGGTCCCATTTACCTGCATTTGGTCCTTATCCCTCAAAATCTTTCCAATTCATGTACTTGTCCAAATATCTTTTAAATCTTGTAATTGTACCCACCTCTACCACTTCCTCTGGCAGCTTATTCCATGAAAT